CAAATTTTATTTTACAAAATAAAAATAAAAAAAATAATAGATTTCTTTCTTATTAACACACGATGTAAACTATTTTGCCACATCTTTTAAAAGGAAGAAGGAGAACACATGATAATTTTAAAATAAAAAAAAAATTCATTTGATGTTTTCATGTGTTTAATGCATTTCGATTAAACAGTAAACAATCATGAAATAATAATAGAATTGATAATAATGATGATAAATTTCTCGATTCCCGTACTTGTAAATTTCACGCGATCCTGGATCCTGCGCGATCCACGTGATATATAGGCAAGGTTATTATTTGCAAGGGTAACGATCGTCAATCAAATTAAAATACAGGTTTATACAATGACAAGATCGTGTAATGTTATACATAAAAATAAAATCGATCTTGAAAATTTTTTTTGCAATTTTATAAAAAAATTTATTATTCAATTGTTAGTTAATATTGACCGACTAATTTTTTTTATCTTTTTGTTCTGATAACGTTTTTAACATTTTTCTTCCGAAATCGACATATCTTTCTCGCGTCATTCCCATTAGAACGACATCGACAACACCTGTATTGAACAAAAAGTTTACGGCAAATTCTTCAATATTTTGATTTTTATCATTTAATTCTTTAAATCCTTGTTGTTCAATCAAATACTTTCTGACTTTCAACGACCCACGATATCTGACTTCTGCGCCAAATGCATCTATAAACGGATAAGCAATAGAATTGATCTCTTGATTTGCATGAAATTGCCTCAAATTTGCATTCACGCTTGCTTTAACACTTTCCAATTGAAATACATTTGTCAAGTTAGGCAGTTGTTTGTCCAGTTGTTTGACTATCTCCAAGATAAACGTTGCCGGTGCTCCAACTCCTCCAACACTCGTTTTACTTCCACTGCTCTCTCCACCTTCACGCACCTGATTTTCCAAAATTTTTATCGTAGAGTTTTTTATTTCTTCATAACTAGTTTTAGGATAACTTGCTAAGCGAAATCCACCTTCATCATTAAAGGCATGTGGTTGTAGAAAAAGAAGAAATTAGGCAAGTGTTTTTCGTCAAGTCCATCATCGTTTGATTATTTTTTAATATTCGGTTTTACTATTTGATTAGACCTTATGGCAAAAGTAGTGTAATTCAACATTATATTATTCCAAATAATGCTATTTATCCATTTTTTTGTTCAATCAAATCCAAATTTTCTTTTTCACGGATTTTATGTAAGTAAATATGATATTTTAATATGTTTATTTTCAATTAATCAATGCTTACCAGTTGATATTGTTCATTTTTCATTTTTAGCCTACTTAATTTCTGCGTGTTTGTTAATACTTATCTGCAAGCTTTACATGAGAAAAAGAAAAGAGAAGGCGACAATTAAGAGAGCAGTTGATGTTATTTATGATATATTGGAAATTGAGTCAGAAATCATTTCTTTACAATGGCGTGACCAAGTTTTATCATTTGTTGAAGACCCATTCCATCGAAAAAAACTGTGGGATGAAGTTGAGAACATGATTCGTAAAAATCCATTAGTTCGATTAAGTAATACTACTTATGAAGGTTCAAGCACCTATTCATTGGAATGGGTGGGCAAGAGAGATACA